TTAAAAACATGAGGAGAAAAGCGTTTTCGATAGAGGACAAAGTTAAAATTGTAAAGCGTATTGATGATGAAACCAATCAATCGACACTGTGTAAGAAATTTTCCTTGTCAAAATCTACAGTTTCAAACATTTGAAAAAATCGAAGTGCAATTCTTGCGGCATATGACAAAAACATGGATTCATCGAAAAAACTGTGTAGAGCTGAAAGAGAAAACGTAGAAGATGCTTTGTTAAGATGGTTCGAAATCTAAAAATATTCAATTAAAAATATTCAAAACTATTTTTAGAATATTAAAAATATTCTAAAAATAATTCAAAATGTAAAAATCTTGCATTCTTTGCACATTGTAGATAAGAAAATTGATGAACTCAATTTAAAATAAAATTGTATTCAATCAAAAATCACAAATTTTCTTCATAAAAAGTGAAAATAAAACTAATATTTAGCAACGTAATTACTTTTTCCATCAATTTTTGCTTTATTATCTGTTAATTAGTTAATAATTTTTTAAATAACTTATGCAAAATTGTAAAGCCAATTTTCAATCATTCAACTGTCTTATGCAAAAAATATTCTTCAAAAAATTTGGATATAGTGAACCATCGGTTATAGTGGACACATTACTGAGTCCGCAGACGGTGCACTATAGCGGGGTTCGACTGTATATTAAAGAATGTTTTATTCTCAACTTTACCACAAGTTATATTTTGTTCAAAAGAAACATAACAAAGTGGAAGAAATTAAATAAAACCATTTAAAATGTTTAGATGGCCGATCACTGATCTAGTTGTTACTGTATTAGGCTATGGGGCCAGTGTTTGTGGGTTCGAATCCCAACGTAGGTATGGTTGTAACTTTCTCTCTCCTTGTGTTCTATGTCCTTTCTTCTGTGTGAATGAAATCCGCCCTATAAAGGGTTTTGTGGTTGAATGGTGTGGGCGACGCTACTCCAGTGCCGTGACTTAGCCACAGGTGCCGACTGGTTAATGATAAGAGAATAGAAATTGTGGCATTTCTGAGGCCAATTGGAAATAGACCCAAGTGCCCGCAATAAAAAAAATCAAAAATAAAAAAAAAATTTAAAAGGAATAAATATTTAGGAAGTATTATAAGAATAAATTAAATTTAAACAAATTAAATAAAAAAAATTTAATACCTTCTTTAAAAATAAAAAATTATACAGAATTTTAAAAGTCTGTACCTATATTATATTATTTAGGTGAGACAGTTTTCATACTTAACAATATTTGATTAAAAAATTAGTATATTATTCGTAATTATGAATTGAATATATGTTTTTCAGTAGTGTATGTGATTTGTTTATTTAATATTGTAATTGTATTATTTTAATATTGAAATTTGATTATGTGATTTTAACAGTTTCTTATAATTATAATTGCTAAATTAGATTTTACTATAACCATTAACAAAAAATTTTGTAAAATTACAGTTTTTTTAGTTTCTTTAGAAATTCTTTGAATTTATTTCATTTTTTTCTCTAATAGTTGTTTATCATTTTTCACTCATAAAAAAAAGTTAGATATCAAATAACTTAAAAACTAATACTATAATTTAAACAGGATAGCAATTAAAATACATTTAAAAAACTGTTTTAAGATATGATATTCTCTTTGAAAAAGAGTTTCTTCCACTTTGGTTGGAAGAAGCTAGCCATCCCTTCTCTTCAGATTCAGAGGTAATCTCGGAGAGGTTGCCTGAAAATCAGGACTGTTATTTTTTTTATACAAAGTTGGACAGAATGTTTCTGTTTTTATAAAGTATTAATAATCACCATTGATGCTAACTTTATGGGGTAAATGTAAAATTCTGGCTAATCTTGTTATGTTTTGTTGAAAAGATGTGTATATATATTTTTATAATGTGCATATTGCTTAGAGTTTTATTAAATTTTGTAATGCATAATTAATTTATTTTAATGTCTTTTTTTTTTTTAATTGAATCTTAAAAATCTGGGTTTTGCAGTTATATAGAAGTAAGAAAAATAAGAGGAAATATTACTTTTTGTTGTTATCTACTAAGAGTTATCGACAATGTCAACCTTCATCTAGGAAAAGGTACCCCCAACATAGAATCGAGTTAACATATCTTATATACTAGGGAATTGGAATTGTATTTTTATAGTGATAGATACACTACACATACTTTAATGTTTTTTTTTCAGTGGAATAATCGAAATTGTAAAAATATTCTAACATGTGTCTTCTTTGCCAGTATATCTACTGTTGGTATTTTAATAAAATTGCATGTAGTTCATAAGCAAGTATATTTTATCTTTTTGTAGGCCATTCCCTTAAAGCCCCTGTTGGTCGTTGGCAAAAGGGTAAAGATTTATCATGGTATGCTAAAGAAAGAAAAGATTCGGAAGCCCAAGATACTATGCACAAGTCTGATATTGCTGCAATTAAAAAAGCCGAAGAAGAAGCCATGTTAATTGCTCTGTGAGTTTATTTATACATCAAATGGGTTTTCTACTTATGCTATATTTTTCTTTGATTCTCTGAAGAATTACGATGCTTGAAATTGTGTAAAAACCTGTATGATATAATAAAAAAAATTTAACATTTCATTATAAGTTTGAGAATTATTAATTGTTGAACTTGTAAAAATATACGCTGCAGCTCATAGGAATGTAACTAAAGAGCCATTTATTTATGAAAGGGTATGATTTATTAAGAAAGGGCCATTTTATTATATCATTAACTTAACACAAGTTTTTTTCAGGAATCTTATTTATTCGAAACGTATTATAATTTTAAAAACTTTTTCCACATTTTTTTTTGCTCTAAATAATGGCTATTTATCAATTGTTGTGAAAAATATTTCTCTCTCTTATCATCCAGCTTGAGTTGCTGTCGAAAGTAACTAATAAATAAATAATAAGAGTTAGAGAAAAAGATTAAATGTTATCATCTCGACATTTATATTGAATTTTTTAAAAATATAAACTAAATTTTAGTGTTCAACAGAGATAAAAACCATTTCCTATTGAACTGATCGAATGACACAAGATTTTCGTTTTAGATCGTTAATGAGTAAATTTACTTGTGTCACATCTCTTTTCTTAAGTTTAATTTTATTTCAAGTTAGGTGCAAATCACTTGCACGCTATAGGCATACTTATCTTGAATGTGCCCATAGTGTGCAATCACTATAGGCACACTCCAAGAAAATCCAAAGGGTTTTCTTGAAGAAATTTTAAAGGAAACTCAACAGTCTCTATGAGTGACTGTCTTCTGCATCTGCAGATCATAAATTATCAGGACAAAATGTCATCGGTACTGGTGAAAAGACAAAATATGCTGCGTTGCTACAAAGTATGAAGAGTTGTTTTGTTACCAGAGTTATTTTGTTTTGTTTGTGTGGCTGAAGATTTTCCAAAGTCGACGACACGTATATCGACTGTAACACTCGTACCATTAATTTTAATTCAATATCTGATTTAATGTCTGCTCCCGATGATAGTGATCAAAATGATAAAGATGAGTGCAAAATATCAGAGGATAAATCCACAACTAATCAAGAGTTAAAGAGCATAAAACTGAAACATTATTTTTTTGCGAATGTAAACCAAAAAGTAAATTTGCAAACAATACTAAGTATTGGATATTGTTGAAATTGTATCTGTAAACAAGTAAAGCTTATGCATTTTTTCTAATAGTTCATCTCGTAACTGTCAATCTTTGAAAAATATGCTCTTTTTTTTTTTAACCCAGATTTTAGGTTTTCGTGCTTTTAATTTTTTTATCCAGTGGAAAACGTGAAATCTGTGTTCCGCTGCATTGTGATTTTTTCATTCTTGTAAAGAGATTGGTATTTTTAACTAAGGAAATAGTTAGTGGGTTATTCTTAACATTTAGTATTTATTTATTTTTAAATATTTAAAAATATTGTTCTGTATTAATATTTTTTTTTTCTATAGGGGCCACAATGTTGTAAAGAAAGAGAGCCAACCTTTATCTAAGGAGGTAAAACTTTTTTGTTGTTGCGATATTATATTTAACTTCAATCATTTTATTCCAGCTCCACATTTCTAAATAATTTGTTCAATTTATTTATAGAATTTCTTTAAATTAATCAATTCTTGATTTATAAATTAAGTTGCTTTTAAGAGTGTACCAGAAGTTTTTTTTTTTTTTTTTAGTTTCTGTTTAATCAAGATATTTTTTATGCATTACCTACCCATATTTTTTTCGAGTAATGTTTTGTTTCATTGTTGCAATTTAGATAATTTTATTGAGTTAAAGTAGTTACTACTTTTTGAAACGATTTTTATTTCTCATCAGCAGCAGATCAGTGGCTTGAGCTCAGGAATAACTAATCTCACATTTCTTGTAGTACCCAACCAGGGAAACTTCCTCTCTAGCAAAGAGTTTTATAATTATTTTTCTTTCTTTTTTCTATTCAAATGCTATTTACATTACTTATTGTAGGAGATGAGAGAAGCTTTGAAAAGGAGTGTTGGAAGCCGGGATGATTATGATATTGACCGTGTTCAAGGTATAGGATCAGGAAGGTGAGTTTAACTTGCTCTCATTTTTAGATACCTTACAGTAAATATAAATTTTTTTGCAACAAAGAAAACATAATACAGTCAAAACCCCTTTTAGCAAAATCCAAAATAGCAAAAATTTCAGTGTACTAATTAAAAATTTGTACAAAAAAAATTACGAATGACATAATTTCTAATAGGTAAGTGATAATAAACCTGTTGTTATTTTTAATTTAATTGTTTTTGTGGGCTTTTAAAACATTAATTTGATATTTTCTACATGCAAAGTACAAATAGATCAAAACTGTAATTAAATGCAATATTTATTATTTTTTTATGTGAAAAATTCGTATGTACCAAAATAATTTTGGTTAATGTTAAAATTCGTAGTATCAGTATAACAAATTTTCGTTATTGCATCACGATTGCTTTGGTCCCTAGGAATTCGCTGAAACAGGATTTAACTCTAGTTCTTATATAAATGTCTAATAACGCTATATGCTTTTCTTACCTTCTTGTTTTCCCATGTAATTAACGTGTGCTTCTCAAGCTATCCAAAATTTGCAAAAATGCCAGTGTGATAAGTATTCTCTGTATTCAAACACAGCTATTTATAACCTTTTGTTTTTTTAATATGTAATGTGTAATATTGTAGATTTAACAATTAATTTAGTGTTATATTGTATGATTAAGTGCTGCTGCAGTTCAAAAAAATTTGATCTAAAATTTCCTCCTGCCTAACAAATTTTTTCCATTATATACCTTGGAAAGAAACTGATGCAAAAAATAATAATAATAATAAGTTAACAGGTTTTAACCAAGTCGACCATTACATGGTTAACTACATTTTTTTTTCTTTTTTTTGGTGGTACAACTTTTAATGCATAATGTTTTTTATTTACACCTACACAAAAGTATTAATTCAAGTGACAAAACATTTCAATATTTTGTCTCTTGAATTGGTAAGCAAATTTAAAAATAAAATAAAAGAAAAAAACACAGAATTTAACCAGAACAAGATCAAATGTTGTTCAAAAATCCATTTTAAAATTAATGATGACCACGGTTTACATAGATATGCAATAAAAAACACTACTTACAATTTTATTGAAATTTATCTTTTAAAGATTAACTCCGTATTTTCTTATGTAAAAAAAAAATGACATAAGAAAAGCTGCAATATTTTCTTACTTTAAAAATATCAAGTATATACAAAGTGCAGCAATTTATGCATACAGTCGGATTTCAATTTAACGAAGTCGCTGACTCCCGATAATAAGTTCGTTATATGGAAAATTCATTAAATAGAAAATCACCTTTTGAAATACTTAAACAACACAAAACAGGGTTTAAAGTCATAAACACTAGACATAATTAAAATAGCAATTGATGCACCTTTATCTTGTTAACTAGTATCTACTATTTATTTTATAAATCTTAACCATAAAAGAAATCTGCATGGAAAGCAAGAATAGAACAAAACATTATCCAGTGTTACACTATCATGCTACATACATTTTCAACTAAAAAAAGCTAAATTTATGTATAAAATTATAGCCGAATTTATGAATTTATTATGAAAGTAATTTTAAACATACATTACCTCATGCGTTCTTAAATTTAATTGTTTCTGATAAAAATCCGTTAATTTTGCTTTTGAAATGCAAACAAAAAGGGAAAAGGATTTTACTACTTTCTCTAAAAGTTAAGTGGCTTCTAAAATCAATTCAAGGGCACTTCCCCCATAAAATGCGTTAGCAAGTTTAAAATATTCTGAAATTTTACGGAAATAGGGAAAATGGATCTCAAGGAAAAGTTCGTTAAATAGAAAATTCACTTCGCTGTTTGNAGTAATGCGCCAATAAGAATAAAACTAATTCATTTCTTTTGCCCGGAAAACATTTTATTTCTCATTTTACACACCATATAGCAGTACCAGGATATTTTTAAGGTAATTGTAAATAGTTAGTTTATTTTAAACTAGATACTAGCACTAATCAAATAAGTGTATTTGGCAAAATAGACACTTTTATGACCGTTTTCTTGAAAATTAACCAATTCGTTAAGGGGTTAGCTAAAGAAACAGTTAGTGGATTATTCTTAACATTTAGTATTTATTTATTTTTAAATATTTGAAAATATTGTTCTGTATTAATATTTTTTTTTCAATAGGGGCCACAATGTTGTAAAGAAAGAGAGCCAACCTTTATCTAAAGAGGTAAAACTTTTTTGTTGTTGTTGCGATATTATATTTGACTTAATCATTTTATTCCAGCTCCACATTTCTAAATAATTTGTTCAATTTATTTATAGACTTTCTTTAAATTAATTCTTGATTTATAAATTACGTTGCTTTTAAGAGTGTACCAGAAGTTCATATTTTTTTTAGTTTCTGTTTTATCTATGATTATTTTTTATGCATTACCTATCCATATTTTTTCAAGTAATGTTTTGTTTCATTGTTGCAATTTGGATAATTTTATTGATTCAAGGTAGTTACTACTATTTGAAACGATTTTTATTTCTCATCAGCAGCAGATCAGAGGCTTGAGCTCAGGAATAACTAATCTCACATTTCTTGTGGTACCCAACCAGGGAAGCTTCCTCTCTAGCAAAGAGTTTTATATTTTTTTTCTTTCTTTTTTTTTTTGGAAGGGGGTATAACAAATCAAGCTATATTTAAAAAAAAAACAGCTTTTTTTATTAAAAGACACACACACACATTTATTTCGCATCAACAAAGAAAAAATAAATTGAGATACCTGTAACAGGTTACAATGAACCTTTCAAGAATAAATTGAAATCCCCGTAACAGGTTAGTATAAATCTTAAATACAAACAAAAACTATTCTGCTCAAAATTTTTGAAAAAAATTTAACTCCAAACTAATCAACAAATTCCAAAATTCGTTTTATTTTTTCCTTATATGTTTTTTTAATTCATGCTTGTGTTAACCAGATATTTTTAAGACTTTATAAGGGGGGGGGGATAAGGTAAGATATGATTTTTTCTGCAGGTTTCCTTCAAAAAAAGAATTTAGGGAATGATTTTTCTTTTGCCCTCCGTTGAGGAGTTAAATTCAATTCTAAATCCATTTAGTTGAAAAAGTTATTTTTCTAGATGACTTTCTTGGACTGATTTCCAAGCAAATGACATATTTTAAGCGTTTTAGAATAAGTCTGATTCATTCACATTGTTTCTCATGTTTGTCTTTACAATTAAAGCTTTTCAGTTAGGTTACTAATGAAAGTGATGACTGCGAGAAATAAATTGTAAGTTTGCCCCTATAAGCACTGCTCTGTGTATTGAAAGGAGAAGAAAAAAAAACAATCACAGGCATCGCATTAAACAAAAAGTGACTATTGTTTGCTATCCAATCAAAGTATGAAAGTAGAATTAACCAAAAATTAAGAAAAAAGTTTAATTTAAAAACAATAAGTCAAAATGGAAAGCGATAAAAAACAGCTGAAAACAAAATTTTCGTAATTAAACAATATAAATAAAATGTGAAAACTTAAATATAAGCAAAACGAAATCTAAAGATACGCATGTTAGCAAAAACAACACTTCATCAGGAGACATGCTGCCCTTCCAACATGCTGGAGCCTTTCTGCTGGTGGTAAAACCAATAACTGACAATGCTCTGAGGCCCCAGAATGGAAAATAAAATAAGACAATAATACAATACCTCAAAGATTGAAATAAAAATGAAATTTCAGTTTAATTCATCGGGTATTAAGAGAAATTTGCCCTTGTGGAGGACTTTTTGATGGAACTAACCCACATTTGCATTACGTGGAAAAGACCACGAGAATCTCCTATGGTTAGCCTAATGGCAAGGGTCTAATCATCTAACCCATGATCCATCTACCACTGAAGATATTTCAAGTAAGCACTATAGTTTTTGCTAGCCTGATGGGGAATTCGTATCGACTAGCCATTGCTGGGATTCAAACTCGGTTCACCCAATTGGAAGGTAAATGCTCTATCCCATGATAGAGCATTCGCTAAAAAAAATGACAGTTTGTTTTTGGTGTATGAAAAATGCAGTTGAATATATAAGGGTGAAACCTCTTTTATTAGCTTTAATTCTTGCCTCTCTTATGTCCAATCCTAATTCTTAATAAGCATGGCATAGGTTTATTATGTGTCGTTTTAGTCGCCAAACTTGGCACACTAATTTAGGAGATGACCTACTATTAAAAAAAGAAAATCTAATTTATGATATTGATAGTCATTAAAATAAGCATTGTCGAAAAAAAAGCTGCAGGGATGTTAGATGTATGTTGCAAAAGCAATTAATAATTTTGGTTTTAACTATTCAAACTCAAATACTTTTTACATTACTTTTTGTAGGAGATGAGAGAAGCTTTGAAAAGGAGTGTTGGAAGCCGTGATGATTATGATATTGACCGTGTTCAAGGTATAGGATCAGGAAGGTGAGTTTAACTTGTCTTCATTTTTAAATACTTTACTGTAAATATTAATTTTTTTGCAACGAAGAAAGAATTATACAGTCAAAACCCGTTTAGCAAAATCCAAAATCGCGAACATTTCAACGTAACAAATATTTTCCGAATCCCCAAAGGAATCTCCATAGAAGCAATGAATTAAAAATACCGATATTGGAAAATTCGTGATCCCATTTAACAAAGGTGAAAATCAGCAACAATTCTCATTTTCTCTCATGATCAAAAGACTTTTCCATGCTTCACAAGTGCACAATGATTTCAGAATTCAAATATTTTTGCATCTTCAAAATAAAAAGTTTTAGATATGAAGGGGACATGTCAAAAAAGATGAATCACTCAGAAGGGATCAACCTGAAACCCCAACCCATTCATGTTTGAAGAAGTAAAAATGCTTGTGCATTTCCAAAAGAGTGATTTCCAGTTCATTTGTTAGAAAAATGTGTGTAATTTTAAAAAGTTTGTAATTTTAACTTGTTCTAAATTATTTGTACAGAAAAAAATTAAGAATTACATAATTTCTAATAGGTAAGTGATAATAAATCTATTGTTCTTTTTAATTTAATTGTTTTTGTGCGCTTTTAATGCATTGATTTAATATTTTCTTCTTGTAGAGTACAAATAGATCAAAACTGTAACTAAATGCAAAATTTATTATTTTTTCATGCAAAAGATTCCAATCTAACAAAATAATTTTGATTGATATTGAAATTCGTAATATCGGTATAACAAATTTTTGTTATTGTGTAGCAATTGCTTTGGTCCCTGATAATTCACTAAAACGGGATTTGACTGTAGTTCTTATAGAAACGTCTAATCGCTCTGCATGCTTTTCTGACCTGCTTGTTTTCCCATGCAATCAACTTGTTCTTCTCATGCTATTCAGAATTTGCGAAAATAACAGCGTGATAACTATTCTCTATTCAAACACAGCTATTTCTAACCTTCTGTTTTTTTTAAATATGTAATGTGTCATTGTAGATTTAACAATCAATTTAGTGCTATATTGTATTGCATGTGCTGCTGTATATATTGTATACTATTGTATGTACTATAATGTAAGTGCTGCAGTAGTTCAGAAAATTTGATCTAAAATTTACTTCTGCCAAACAAATTTTTCCACTATATATATATCTTGGAAACTGATGTTCTTGTATCTTGGAACTGGAATTATATATCTTGGAACTGATGCAAAAAATAATAACAATAATAAATTAACAGTTTATAACCAAGTCGACCATTAAATGGTTAACTATATCTTTTTTCTTCTTTTTTTGTGGTACATATTTTAATGCATAATGTTTTTTATTTACACCTACACGAAAGTATCAATTCAAGTGACAGAACATTTCAATCTTTTATCTCTTGAATTCGTAAGCAGATTTTTTCAAGAAAAGTAAAAGAAAAAAGCAGATTTTAACCAGACCTAGTTCAAATGTTGTTCAAAAATCCATTTTAAAATTAATGGTGAGCATGGTTAACAAAGATATACAATGAAAAACACTACTTACAATTTAATCGCATTTTATCTTTTAAAGATTAACTCCTTATTTTATTATGTAGAAAAAAGTAACATAAGAAAAACTGCAATATTTTCTTACTTTAAAAATATTAAGTATATACAAAGTGTAGCAATTTATGTATACAGTCGGATCTCAATTTAACGAAGTCGCTAAATCCCGACATTAAGTTCATTATATGGAAAATTCATTGAATAGAAAATCTCCTTTTGGAATACTTAAACAACACAAAACAGGTTTTAAATTCATAAACGCTAGACATAATTAAAATAGCAATTGATGCACCGTTATCTTGTAAATTAGCATCCACTATTTATTTTATGAATCGTAACCATAAAAGAAATCTGTATGGAAAGCAAGAATAGAGCAAAACATTACCCAGTGTTACACTATCATGCTACATATATTTTCAACTAAGAAAAGCTCAATTTTTGTATAAAATTTTAGCTGCTTTTATGAATTTATTATAAAAGTAATTTTAAACATACATTACCTGATGCGTTCTTAAGTTTAATTGTTACTGCTAAAATCCGTTAATTTTGTCTAAGTTTTGCTTTTGAAATGCAAACAAAAAGGGAAAGGGATTTTACTACTTTCTCTAAAAGTTAAGTGGCTTTGAAAATCAATTTCCCCCATAAAATGCGTTAACAAGTTTGAAATGCTCTGAAATATTTTGGGAAATAGGGAAAAGAGATCTCAAAGAAAAGTTCGTTAAATAGAAAATTCATTTCGCTATTTGGAAACTATTTTACTAAGAAATTTCCAAAATGTTCTTGGTTCCTCGAAAAAAATTGCAAACCGAGAAATTTGCAAAATGGAAGTTCGTTAGATAGAGGTCTGACTGTATTTGCAAATATATATAAATTGCTGCACTTAGTCTTTTTATTTTTAAGACACTACGGAATAATTATGCTCTTGTTAATTGACATAAAAACTGAATTCATTGTGACAAGCTTAATTATTTTTTCTTGTAAGCCCTTTTCAAAACAAGTTGTGCCCCTCATTATGTACTTTATTTAATTAGAAAGCATATTTTTAGTTTAAGACTTTGATTTATTGTTTCAGAAAAGCCTTATTAGCCGGAGTAAGTTCAAAACCTTCGAATGAAGGAGTTACATTTGAGACATCAAGAAAAAAAGTTGAAAGTCAACAAGAAAGCTCAGAACTTAGTAAGAGGTACAGTTGAAAAGCCTTTATTTAAATCATTATTGTAAAAGTTGGTCAATTTTTTACATACATGATAACTATATATTTTAAACACTTTAACCAAACTATATCAATTTAAAACCTTTTTCCCCTTAATTTTCTAAAATGTATTGAATAGAGGAATGCTCAGAATAGATGGCAAATCATCAAATCATTTCATATGGTTGATGCAACCCTATTATCCTTCTACCCTTGTGGCCGAATTTTTTTTAGGCCTTCTGCGACATACCTCTCTAATACTAATATCTTTCTGTGAGATACTTTTAAAAATAACAAATATATGTGCTACTAAATTAAAGTAACAAAAGCGCCAACTTAAAAAAAAAGCTTTTTGGAGCAAATAAAATAATTTTTTAATTAAATATGTAATATATTTTATTCTAATATTATGGGCGATATTCTCACATTTTGTAGGGGAAAACACACCAATTATTTTCTTTTTCACATTTTGTAAATCATCATCACATTTTAAAAAAAATAAATAACAATCGTTAAATCCGTAGCAGTTAACTACCAAAGAAAAGATCAACGGCGAAATCACGCGAATCAGACTTCTCAAAAAAGGGTTACTAAATGCTTGTTTTCATATCGAGATTCAGTTGTAATAAATTATATGGTATGAAAAATATTGGATTTTAAGAACTATGTGAATGTCAATAGTAGTAACTGTATAAAAAATTAAAGCAAAAATTTCCGCAGAAGAGAAAACCAAATTTTACTTCATTATTCTTTATTTTTCATTATTCTGAAATTAGATTAGAAAAATCACTAGCATTTTTTTCCACTCCAATGAGCGAGGAAGACATCTTTTGAATATAATTCTGAAGAAAAGAAAACTTCAGAAAATTTCTGGGGAAAAGAAACGTAAATTTTTTACTTCCCCAAAGAAAAATCTTTCTGCAAGAACTCGATAACATTCTGCGACAATGTCACCGTGTCGCCACAATTCTGCCACAGGGTGCATTTGCTCTGATTTTTGCTAGGAGCCTCTGCATGTGTCCATTAAAGATTGCTTAAGGCCTGGTTTCTTAAGACAAGCGCCTTCTTTGGGCGTCAGCAGGAAGTAGACATACCCTGACGCCATCAAAATACTGTTTTGTAGGCTAAAGCGTGAGCCTTCGTTCCAACGCAGACATTACCTTGCATTGTGCATGCGTTAATGATGTAAACAAATATTTATTTTATTAATTGTATTCCTATAACTTTATGTGTTATTGTCTAGCAGTGCTTTAGAGGGAGAAAAATGACTTTTCAATCTGTAATCACAGATTGTTTTATCAAATTAGGTCATTTTTTGATTTCAGAGATTAATTTCTTCTCGAAGTCAAAATCTTGGCCGATTTCAATGCTCTGATGGCTGTTGTCCGTCATTGCTTCTGTCGTTAACGTTACAGTGTAATTCAACTGCAGTTGATTCATACGACAGTTGTCGTTCAAGCTGAGCGTTCTATGAGTATGCTGTTTAACTTACAAATTGGCCAATCAGAGGTTAGCGCTCGCTTGAAGCTAACATTTTGCAACGCCAACCTGTTCTAAGAAACCAGGTTTTTTCTTACATTATTTTTCAAAAAAAATTTCGTTTTGATCTTATATATATCTTATTTATATATATTTTAGAGAAAAAAAGAAGAAGAAATCCAAGAAGCACAAGCGGAATAAACATACTGATTCTGAAGATTATCACAAAAAATCCTCAAAGAAAAAGAAATCTGAACATAAGCATCAGTCTTTCACCAGTGACTCTGAATGTGATCATCCCAAACAAAAGAGACATAAGAAACGCAAAAGACACGACAGCAGTTCAGACGGCTAAACAACAAATGCTCAGAAGTATTTTTATAATAATATGTTCTTCACAGTTTGAAGTGACTTCATAATCCTTTTTTTAACCCACTGATGGTTCTGCTCATAAAAAGTCATATTTTAACCTGCCATCTTCTCTGCGTAGCAAAAACCAGGGTATCTGCGCACCTGGAAAGTCATGAGAAATCATGGAAAGTCATGAATTTCGGTATTGAACAAAATTTGTCATGATTTTAACTATTTTATTAAAAAAATCATGGACAGTCATGGATTTAGGTCGCCGAAAAATCTAATTTTTAAAATGAAATTTACCTCCCCCCCAATTTCATGGTGTTTCTGAATATCTGATTTGTAACTAAATCCCCTCTCACAGTCATATTTTAATTTAACAATGTTTTTATCATGTTCTTTAAAAATTATGGTGTTCTTTGAAAAAATGAAAGAAGAAACCATTTCTAGATTAAATTATCGTTTAAGCATTTCTGATTTCAGAATTTTTGTTATTATTTATTTTATCAATTTAAAATTCTAGCTGGAGCAAGCCAGTCATAGGCGAATTTTCTTTATTCCGAAATGAGAACAGAAAAATAAGTATTTTTTTCCTTTCTTATGAACAAGAAAAGTATCTTTAGAATATAATTCTGTAGAAAAACAAATATTTTCTTTTGTATTTTTTCAGCTATTTTATTGCTTTAACTCTTTCTTTACTCTGTTTCTTAAATTTAAAATCTATGAATGTGAAGATGCAGAGTATAACAGTTTTGGTTATACCTATCATTTCAATTAATGTTATTAGAATGCTTTTTTAAATTTATTGTTCTGTTTTTGTCGGAGGAAATAGTAACTTTGTTAAGTTATGAAAAATTCTTGGAACTAGTCATGAAAAGTCATGAATTTGAAAATCTAAAATGTAGCAGATACCCTGTTTGCTCGTAAAAAGTCGAATTTTAACCTGCCATCTTCTCTGCGTAGCGAAACCAGTTTGTAAATTTCATTGGTTAGGGAAATACTGTATTGTGGAGAAACATTCTCCCAATTTTGTCCATTTTTTGAACCTTCAGTGGGTTAAACTAATTATTTTCATCGACTGCTTGTAAAGATTTTTTTCCATCTTATAATCATTAAAAAGAAGTTCAAATAAGTTAGGTATTTTTTTCCCTGCCAAATTAACATCTTCTCATGTCATACAAAAGTGGTGTATTGTGGGAAAAATAAACCTCTCAAAGGATTGCCTGGAAACTTTGATCTCTTTAACATAAACTATTTTGTTGAGATTTTTTGATAGACTCTTTCTTATGATTCCATACTCATAAAAATATATTTTTTTATTGAATTAATTATCTATTTTTATCGATATGCATTCTGGGGTCTACAACTCAGGGACGCCACGCCGACTAAAAATTATAGGCAGTGCCCAATATTTTTGTAAAATATAGTTCAGTAAAATTAAAAATATATATATATATATTATACTAATTTTCGTCTCATGTGTTGGTTTCATAAAATTTTTAATTTTTATTGTCCCCTGTACGTAATTGTAATAATACATGGATTGTTCATAATGTTCACCAGCAATACAAGCATTTAAAATCCTTTTTTAAAAAACATACACATTGGAAGTTGAATCTGTTGTCAAAATGGTAAGATCAAAAATACTTAGAAACCACTTTGATTGTCTTGTAAAATTTATTTCTTATTATTTCCTAAAAATTTTCTATGTTTCCTCTGGCTGTCAAATAAGTTTCAATGATCTCAGTCCAACCAATTTAGATTTTGGCAGTATTTTTGTTTTCTACTCACTTAAATGTTATCTGCGACCCTTAATGTATTCATTTTTTTTTACACGACATCCATAAATATACATTAAGCGCTGCCTATATGGAACACCACATTGCTTTTCACAGTTTCTTCTTAAATCTGTTTTTTTCCCTCTAGAGAAACATCTTTATTTTGTATAGTGGAGATTCCAAATGAAAAGAGGAAGAAATATAGCAAGTTATGATAATTTAGTAATTTCATACCTTATTTTATTCACTAATTTCTAAGACATTGCGTCTCTGAGACTTTTTTTTCTATTTAAATAAATAAAATATTTATAGATAAATATTTTATCATTATAAAGATTGCCTTATTAAATTAGGTCTCTGTATTAAAAGTTATATGATATCAAAAATAATAAAATAATATAAAATATAAATATTATTTGCATAAATAACTGTATTTAAAATTAAAAGATTGTTTTTTGCAAAAGTTCTTCTAGACAAGAAGGAAGAATTACTTTTTTCTAAGAGAGTGCTATACAGAAAACATTAAAAAAAAAATTAGATTCATTATTCCTGTTGATAATAATTACCTAATAAACTAGTTTAAAAAATTTTAAGGAAAACATCTGTAGCAGACTTTTTAATTCTTTATAAAGTCAATTTGTGCAATTACATTTTGTTTCATATGAAATAGAACTTGTTTTTTTAAAAATCGACACACACATATTAAGATGCTTTATTTTTCTTTTGTAAAGCATTGATATGCATCAGTTTGGCTTGCTGTAACAGAAAAGAAAAATTTGTTAGCTTTAATTATGCCTTTGCTTAAACTAAACTATAAAACTTAGAAGCAGTATTCTATTGAGTAGTATTCTGTCTCAAAATTTATTTATTAAGTTCATTACAAATATAAAACAATGCTTACTTCTGCATATTCTACTTTTTTCTTCCACGTTTTTATATTTCGTTTTATATTTTCATTTTCTCTTTTGGCACAAGCATAATCAAATACCTCTGGTAAATCATGGCGTCGTGGATCCACTTTTATCTTGTGAATAGCTTCAATCAAACCTTGCTTTCTCTGAAATATTGGAACAAAGATATGGGATATTTCCGTATCGTGATCATTGGCGCCAACTATAATCGCCAAGGTGCCAAATAGATTTTAAACTTGCAATTTTTTTTAAAGAAAAAAGCATGTAGATGTTTGCCAGGGGATGGCTATGAGTTATACCTTACAAGTTGGTCCCTTTCTGTGAATTTTTTTTTTTTTTTTTTTTTTTTTTTTTTTTTTTTTTTTTTTTTTTTTTNTCTCGCGAGCCACTGCCCGGAAGTTTCCAAGACTTGGCGATTATTCTGCCACTGATCATGATACGGAAATCTCCCCCAAAGATTTTAGTATCCTAGTGTTAAAATTAAATTAAATTTACTCTACATTTCTATTGACAGGGCTGGGATAGCCTGCTTGGTAGGGCACTGGGCCCTTGTCCAAGAGTTCATGGGTTCGATCCCAGGCCAGCCGAAGACTCCCCGTGTAGTAAATGGTGACTGATGCACGTTAAATCTGTCGAGTCGCAAAGTCCTCCAGGTTCCCATAACAAATCAATACCTCTGGGGTATTGGTCCAGGTGTTTCCTTATGGTCTGGATGGGTTCAAAATTACAAGGCTACGGAGTTGAACGTTAGTAGTTGTAAATCCAAAAATTGGGTCGGCTGGTCAACGACAGATATATATACATATATATATAAAAAACATTCTATTGACAGGGTTAATCCAACGATACCTTCTCCAACTGATTCTAATGAACAGGATTAGTCCTACATCATTTCACGACTGCACCAGCGATACCTTTCCCAACGGATTTAATAGATAGGGTTAGTTCTACGTTACCCAACAGATTTCAATAGCTAGTAATGACGTAGATCATAACGTCGACCATTCTCTCAGCGTTCCAAACATTGTCTTTAATTGAATCCGTATTATAGCGTTACAACGTGTACAAGGGAGTATGGATAGTTGACAGTGTAAGGCTAAGCACTGAAGGCACTAGGGGTTAAAATTTATAGCAAAAATTTATAGCCGGGTTACTACTTCCGATTGATTTCGAAACATACAATTTATCATTAACTTTAATTTCGGCAATTTTCAGACTACCTAGAGCTCTTTCATTTAATTTGAAACTCATGCCAATGTCTGTCACATTTGTTTCCCCAATGTTGCAAGCAAAATTAATTTCCCTTACATTGCAAATTGAAATTTTGACTAATTCTCGACGTTAACTAACTGACCAAAACAAAATTAAAAAATAGAAAATAACCGGGTTGGGGGGGACGTTTATCAAGTGATTGTAAAAAAGGAGAAAACAATCCAATTTTTTTACGCTTATAACAAAAAATTTTGGGCTTATCGCTTTCATTAACTTTCAAGATTACTGAAAATCCCCTTTATGGCTTTCAAAAACTATGCCCCCTGCATTTTGTTAGGTCTGACGAAATTGGAACTTTGTTTTCGAACTTTTCTTTTGTTTACTTATTTGTTTATAGTACAGTAGTTGTAGCAAAAAAGTGTTTCTTTGGGAGAATTAATACCCAAGATATTTTTTGACAAAAAGCTTTTGTTATGTTCTAATAAAAAAGACACTTTAAAACCTCCTACTCTCCTCTGCACGCTCCCCCCCCCCATTTTTCGTGGGAAATGGGGATGAGTTGAGGGGGGAAATTGATTTTTTTTCTTAACACGTAAGTGGGGAAATTTCTTCTCGCTGAATAGAATGAGATCAATCTCGAGACAATCGGACTAATAATTTAGAAGTTATAAGGGTTTTGTGAACAAAAAATATAAGTTTGTACTCTAGTACCTATTTATGCATCTGATATTGCTATCTAAACATAATGTTATTAGAATGCTNACAACTTTTGAACTATTAGTTCTATTGACTTTTGTATAGTCTGATTCGATTCAGCATAAAAATAATACGTAAGAAGCGATGCATTCAGATAGCCAAGTACATATGCACAAAGAGGTACAAGAATGAAAATATCTTGCACACAAAACTCTGTTAAGAATCAATTGTAAGAAGAAAAAAAAAATATCCAGCTGATCAAGGAAAAAAAAATAAAAACAGATTAAGAAAAAAGATTAAAGAAACTGACAATTTCGAACAGTTAGTTATTTTTTGTTCAGATTGTTTTATGTTTTTTTTACTTATTATTATTTTAACTTACTCGCTACTGGAATTGGAAATAATATATAAGCTGTTTTAATGTGCTAAACCGTTACAGAAATTACAAATGAAATGTCTTTTGATGTTGTTTCTAATGACACTTGGACTAACTAAGCCTTATTGGCCTTTAGCGAATTAAGTTAGGAAGGCACATCTTTTGTTTGGCAAGAGAGCAGCCTTAGGGTGAAAGTACGTTTCAGCTCAAAGCCCCACTGGTATATACCAGATCTCATTCGTGAGGCAACTTCTTTAATTTAGACATAGATAGGAAGAAAATTTTCTCAGCGACAGACCAGAAGATTTTCGATTCCACAGGTTCTACGAGCACTTACATCGCATGTACTCGGTAGAATATCGAACTCCTTTTGATGTTTTAAATAAATATTTTCTTTCGTCTCCTCAGTACAACTTTATTCGGTGCAACACTAATAACTTCTAAAGAGCTGTGGTGGCTCAGGAGATGCCTTCCAATGAGGTGAACCGGGTTCGAATCCTAGTCATGGCTGGTCGATACGAATTCCCCACCCGGCTTGCACCGACCACAATACTGACGTAAAATATCCTCAGTGGTAGAGAGATTAGAGGTTGCCGTCAGGTTATTCGCGATTTTTTTTTTTTCGGTTTTCCTCTCCATGTAAGGTAAATGCGAGTTAGTTCCGTCAAAAAGTCCTCCACGAAGGCAAATTTCATCGATCCAGGAATTCCCTTGTCTTCTGTCAAAATTACAAGGATATGGAGTTGAACAGTCGTAAACTCAAATATTGGGTCGGCTGTTCAACGAGGGTTATAAAATAAAATATAATTTCTAAGCTGTTAGCCCGTTCGACTTGGTATCGATCTCATTCAATCCAGCTTAAGGAACAATATGAGAAAGAAAATCGTTTCACCCCTATTTCCCTCAAAAGAAGTGGGGAGCGTACAGAGGAAGTTTTCAGGAACGTAACATAACTTTCCTTGAAAAGAAATCTTGAGTATCGAAGAAAAAGACTCGACTATTGAGGAAAGGTTGAAATATTATCCAAGTTACTTGTTCGTTCCATTCTTTCTCAGAGAGCATAACACTTTTCATGTATTTTTTCTTGGATAAAACCTCTTGAACAGTTGAGAATTCTGATTCTTCTTTTTGCAGTGCTTTCTGGATAGAGTGAATCATATTTTAATGAAGTTGTCACTAACTGCAAAATAACTTGGACTCTTATTGAAAACATACTCACGAATCTTAACTCAATAAGGGTTCAAAGGGCCATTAATTTCCAATATTGGCTCTATATAAATATAACTGTCCGATTTAGCCAATATTTTACAACCCATATCGGGCCTATATAGAATTGTCAGGTTCACCAGATATTTTATATTCATTATTCAGGCAATATAGGCCCCATAAAGACCGCTAATGGACCTATATAGGACTAATATTAAAAATTCTAAGCATTCCAATATTGACCATTTGCTTGTTCATATAGGACCCATATTTAGCCAATTTTGAGCCAAACTGGAGTCAAGATAAAATAGTTGCTAAGGTTCTTTTAGCTTCTCATCCCTAGCAACTATTTTACCTCAGCCCCAGTTGGGCTCAATATAGGTCCTATAAGAACATGCACCGAGGGACCAATATGGGGATGTCTTGATTTTTTAATATGGTCCTAGAATGGCTTATATAGGCCATACATTGGTTAACCCTTTGTATCACCGCGTTACATATCTGCAACATACATGAAAATTCAATCCTATAATGAGGTGGATTTACCTATAAAATCGAACTAAATTCAGGTAAAGAAAATAGTATTGCAAACTCGGGGGAAGCAAGTCTTGGTGCATCTGCCAATATTATAATGCGTTTAGCAAGAATTGTTCCACGACATAATTGCAGGATATACAATTTTTTTACAACAATCCCCTTGATTGTATATTTGGCTAAGGAGGGATTGAAAAATGTGGTGTGAGACCTTGTTACCATAAAAACAACAATTTCAAAATTTTTCACATGAAGTTTTAAATATATTGGAACTTTTGTGCTATTTTTCACGATATTGGAGATGTTCAGCAAATGCTTTTCACCAATAAATTTTTAATTTTAAGGTCTTAATTTTTTCATTATTTTTTACACGCTTAATATGATGTATTCTAACATCCGCGTAAATATTTCTTAAATCAGAGTTGTTGAGTTACAAAGGGTTAATATAGAATACAATATAGAATCGAAAAATTCTATATAGGGCCAATATCGGAAAAAAATAACGGCCCTTTGAGCAATTATTGAGCCAATATTCATGAATAATGGCCCAATGAGGACCCAAGTTATTTTGATGCTAGGGAAGCATTTAAAGCTTTTGAAGGTTTGAGGAACCAGCAATAAATTATGAAAGAAACAGAGAGGTTTTGAACTCCCTATCGTAAACCTAGCTTGATTATTCACGTGGGCATTTTTATAGAAAACTGCTTTGTCTTACGATTTTTTTACTGTAAAAATATTTAAGGAAAGTAAACAGAAATTTTGACCCATTTTTTAATTAATTATAAAAATATTATTTTAAAAAAGAAATTTCGTTAAAAATTGCATTAGATATGGGCATTTAAAGTATATATGAGTCGCTCAGAAGCCAATGCGGTTAAGTCCAAAACACAAAAGTTGAGAAAATTAATGTTTTTTGATACATTAGTTTTTAAAATTCTTGGTTTATTAATTTAATTAGAAAAGTGTATAAAGTCTTTTTTCGAGGTGTAAACTCTGCAAAAAAACAAGATATGTACAGGATGTGTAAATAAAAACGTAAGTAGTTATTGAAATAATGACAGCATCTTAAAAATTTTAGGACTTATACCTCTTGGCAGCTGAAAAAGATAAGAAATTTATGTAAAAAAATATTGATAAAAGGTGGACTTATTCACAATGGCTTCTGAAATTATTATACAATATATTCAGAAGCTATTAAAAAAAGGGCTGTCTAACCTAGAAAAAAGTAACCAACGAGTAAATCCTTTAATAACTAAGAAGATTATTATTTATTTCATCAAAATTTCCAAAAATCAGAAAATATCAAAAAATGGACTTAACCGCATTGGCTTCTGAGCAGCTCATATCTATATAATTAGCGATGTTGCAAAGTAAATTATTCAACTAAATTTTGTGCATGTTATAACCAAAGTAAACGATTCAACTATATTTTGCGCATATTACAACCAAAGTAAACGATTCAACTATATTTCGTGCATATTATAACCAAAGAAAACGATTCAACTATATTTCGTTCATATTATAACCAAAGTAAACGATTCAACTATATTTCGTGCATATTATAACCAAACTAAACGATTCAACTATATTTTGTGTATACAATTCAACTATATTTTGTACATATTATAACCAAAGTAAACGATTCAACTATATTTTCGGGCACTGAGTGCTGAAAAGCGTTCTTTTTCTTAATAATAACACAGAGAACACTCGTCTCTTCCACATTATTTCGGTGCGTGCGTAAAGCTGTATAACATTTTCTCTAATTTCGCAATCAACTTAATGGTTTGATCTATCTGAAATTTGCTAATGAATCACAGATACGAAATAGGTCACAAAAACGTATTTTCTCGAAATACTTTTCAGATTTTTTGACCCTAAAGACAGCTGTCGAAAATTTGCTTAACCTTAATTTCACTCCCATTTTGTATATTTCGCCATTTGAAAAATATCTGAACGAATTAGAAAAATTTAGGCACACAATTGTAATATTCGTTACTAGTGGGTATTTGAGGTAGAAAATTGAATTATTTTTATAACTATTTTGCGATTAGGTATGGGTCGGAAAAAAAACTAAATTAATAATTTTTTTACCAAACAGTTAAAAGCCCGAAACAAAAGTTTGTTCTTGAGAAATGAAAATTTAAAAATAAGAATATTAAAATATTCTTGTTCGAAACTAACTTATTAAAATAATTAAATGAAACTCACTTTGAGTTCCAACAATTTTAGTCCAAGAGTGTTGCACTTTGTCTTACAGACGACGACGTTTTCTTTGTTTTTGCGTAAGGCGTCACAGGTTTTCATGTGTTCATACTTCATCTCCTGACATCTTTCAGTATCAATGAAATTAAGTCTCTTGTTTTGCTGAAATTTATTGAGAACTGGTATTAAACAAATTTGATATTCATTTGCGGTCAAAGTCTCACCCAAACAACTGATCTTGAACTATAGAATAGAAACTCGAAACTTTGAGCTGCGATGGCTATAGGGATAGAGCGTTCGCCTTCCAATGAGGTAAACCAAGTTCAAATCCGCATCCGGCTTGCACCGACCACAGTGATGACGTGAAATATCCTCAGTGGTAGACGAATCATAGGTTAGAGTCCCTTCGCCGTCAGGCTAACAGTGGGAAGTTCTCGCGGTCTTCCTCACCATGTAACGCAAATGTGGGTTAGTTCCATCAAAAAGTCCGCCATGAAGGCAAATTTCTCCCACTATTTGATCCAGGAGTTCCCTTGTCTTCTGGATTGGGTTCAAAATGAGAAGGCTACGGAGTTGAACATTAGGAGTCGTAAACCCAAAAATTGAGTCGGCTGTTCAACGACGGTCATAAAATATAAAACAAAATAGAAGCTTGAGATAACCAGTATGGCATATCACCAGAAATCCGTTGACAATTTTCATATATATTTAAAATATCAAAATTATATGTTTATGACGATTTTAAAATTACTAACCTACCGCTACAGTGACAAAATATTTTGGAGAAAATACATTTTTCAGCTGTTTAAGGGAACAATATTTTATTAAGAAGGTTTAAATGGACTTTCAGCGGCGGGATAATTAAGATATGATGGGACTATGCGTATAATGACTTCCTACCTATACCAAATTAGTCTTCTTTAAGTAATATTGGCACTTCTTATGAAATTGAGTTTAGATTAAACTTGTTTTACAAAAATTTGAAACCAGAAAGGATTTTGAAATGTGTAATTATTTCAAAACTAATTACATTGAACATTAAAATACAATTAAATGTCAGCAAAAACATCAGGAATCAAGTTGTTAAAGTAGTAGTAGAACTATCCATCATAAGAAGTTTAAAAATCAAAAGAGATTATTAAACTTGGTAAATTTTTGTTACCCCCCCCAAACACCGCCAGGAAATTTTATAGATGGTTACAGAAAATCAATGCGAAAGAAAACTACAGGGGTATTGAAGGAAATATTATTATAATTTTCTGAATTTTACTCTCAAAATACATTTTTAATGAAGAGTTTTAAACATAATCCTGGAAATTTTTCAAATGAATGTTTAGAAAGTGACACATATCAATTTTAACTTTCTCTGTACTTAGAACCCCTTGCATATGACACATACGTTAATGACAATTTTATACAATTTGAAATAACTTACGTCTTTCAATTGACTCAGCAGCTTATTGTTATTCATCACCAAGCTTTCAATCTGTATTTTATATCGATTGCACATTGCCCGCTGTAAAAGGAATTAATCTTAAATACAAAAACAACAATTGAAAACAATAATCTTCTGCATAGAATTTCTCTTTTTTTATTTCCAATGGCAATGACCGAGAAAAATTTAAATAAAAAACTAAGAAGAGCCATCCATAAGTCCCCTTACAGAGAGTTCTGTCACGCAGGCAGCCGTGATATACGTCTCAGTCAGTGGTCGGAAGTAGTTCACTACAAGTAATGAAACTACTGTAATCGCTACTTTTTTTCGTAGTTTGTTACTTTTTTTAAAAAAAAGTAGCGCAGTGAGAATAGCAATACAAAGAAGAAAAAGAAAAAAAGAAAAAAAAAAATGGTTTGTAGCGATTCCTGGCAACTGCTTTAAACGTTAGTTAAGAGTAATTTACGCAACTACAGTCCCTGGCTAAAATTATTCGATACACTATAAGATTCTATGTAAAATATTAGTAATAATTATCAGTTGATCAGTTAATTAATTATCAGTTGATACTATACAGCTTTATTGTTTTTACGCAGCTGAAACCGGTTTGCGCTTGTTTACGTTCATGTATCAATGGGTTAACATTGTAATGCAATACTTTAAAAATAAATACAAATAGGAAGTCTGTAAAAAATCTCCTAAATAAACACCCATTACATGCATGTTTAAATATAATAATAGTATTGCTTATAAACTGGTGCAAAACATGCAATTATTAAAAAACTACAGTGCGTCTAATAATTCGATCTAATTATTACAATATTATAATATAACTAGGAGGCTTCACCCCCTGCTCGCTAACGCTCGCCAACCCCGAAACTGCTTTCACAGTTCATTTCGGATTGCTTCGCAATCCGATGCTCGCTTTGCTCCCTCATTGGATACGTTCTTAACGTCTAGCTTTTGTATACTTTTTTGAACACTGAAGTTCCGAAAACTTTTCACTGTAGAAAATTCTAAACCTGTGCATTTCAATATTAATTTGAAATTGCAAACAGTTCACATATTTTTCTTAATCACACTATTCTAAATTTCAGTTGTTGAGAATAGTAACTGTTGTAAGTTTTGTTTTAAAGTCTTTCCCACCCGAGGGCTAAAACCATGTGTTGTAAAACAATATGAAATAGTACTGAACGCCGGATGTAAAGCATCGGCTTTGATGAAGAGAATTTTGTGAGAATTTTTTTGATAATTCGGTGAGAATTCACCCGATTAGACATATGATGCTACGTGCTCTTGCACGCCGAAGCTTATCAATTAAAACGTATTATCGTTTTATATAATATAGATTAGTTATATGATGCTCACTACGTGCTCTTGCGCGCCGAAGCCCATCTAATAAAAATGAAAACTGTTGCCAACGCGAGAAAAGAAATATCATCGGTTTTATTGATACATACGTATTAACGTTTTATATAATATAGATACCTGATATAATAAATACTCTATATTTGTATAATATATCATCTTATTTATCCAATCGTCGAATGTATATTATATATTGCCTAATTTAACCAACTGATACACGAACGTAAACTAGTACAAACCGGTTTCAGTAGCGTAAAGCTGTATAGTACCACCTGATAATTAAGATTTTACACGAAAACTTACAGTGCGTCTAATAATTTGGCCAGAAACTGTAATTTTTCGAATTTGATGGGTACAATAGTTGAAGTTGAAGGTTAAATGAACAAATTCGAAGAAAAAAAATTATTCTGGAATAACAAACGTGTTAACATAAATAAATAATTCTTAATTATTCCCTTATGTTTAATTGTAAGCCAATTTCTATTTAAAACCATTTTTTACGTAGGTGAAAATTAATTTCTCAAGCAAAGATCGGTTTCTTAAAGTAGTGACTACATTTCGAAAGTAGTTTGTCGTCACTACATTTAAAAAGGAAGTAGTTGTAGTTAACTACATTTGTAACAAAGTAGTTGCAGTAAACTACAAAATTAATGTAGTTTTTTCGACCACTGTTCTCGGCAGGTTTGCCAGGCAATTATTTTACCCATTGGCAAAACGGGTGTTATTTTGGGTTTGATTGCGTGCGCGCCTTATTCGGACGCCATCACACTTTTCAACTGTGTTCAAGAGTAATAGTAAACAGTGCGCATGCGTTGTCATTGCATGCGTTGCTATGGAGACAGCTGCTTTTTGATTATTTTTTTATAAATTCCTTTTATTTTATTTTTTTCACTTTTAATTTTGTTATGCATTAAGTTGGTGAGTTTATTTTTTAAATATGGGACCAGAGAGATCCCAAAAATACATCTTGAGTTGTGAATAAAAGAGAATTTCCTCATTTGAACTATATTTTTGTATTCATTGTTTTAATTAAGAATCAGAAATTCTAACCTACAGTTCAAACTGGATCGTTTTCAATACTAATTCAAGTGAATATCACAAATAAAGAGGTTTCCAAAATGATTGACACGGTCCCAAATATTAGAGTTGAAGCAAGAAAGAAAAAAAAAAAAAACGATGCCAAGGCCTAAACTTACAGAGGCTGAACAAAAAATTAGATAACCATATTGCCAAGGCGATCACAATTTTTTTCTTCCTTTCATTCTGTTTTAGCTAAGATTTCATCTAGGTGCGTCGAATGCATAATATGTTTAATAATTAGTTCTTCAAAAAATATAGAGGATTTCATTAGCATTTGATGATGCTTCGAAATATGGTAATAAATGTCTCGACATGATAGCAGTGAATAAGGAAATAAAAGTGATATGAAACAATAGAAAATGAAAAATGAAGGTAAAAAACAAGAAAACCGCGTTAGAGAAGAAGAAATTGAAGAGATCTTCGAAATCAAAATAGAATTAATTTAATTTTGTTTACTATATTCTAAAATAGGTTTATTATTATTGGTAATCCAAAAAAAACCGTCCTTAATATTGTTAATAATTCTATTGAAGTAGTTAAAAAAATTGTATTTCGTTTAGTTAAGTAAGTATTAGACCCACTAGTGATAGTTCTAAATTTAATAAGAATTTTGTGAAATTTTAGACTGATAATAAAGTATGAAAATTGTATATTAGTTTTAATATTTAAGCTCTTATAAAAAGCTAAAAAAAATTTTATTATAATGTTATTATTTAAATAACCAAGCTTAAAATTTTTACTATTTTTTTTAATTACCTATTTAAAAGTTCAACATAGAATTTTTTACAGACGATTGCATAATTCTTGTTAGCCTTGTCTATGGGGGTGATTACAAAATGCTTTTAAAGTTGCTTAATTGCTCCATCAGTTTTTAAAAAAATTTCTAAATTGTTGCTGTTATTTAAATTCGCCTTATGATTAAAAAAAAGAAAGTTTTTAAAGTAATAATAAGCAGCCCATTTCCATTCTGTTAACATATCTAAAGGTAGAGAGATTCTGCTAGATATTTTTAAACATAAATTATTGCGATCATTAAAAAGGAAATTTAGAATTTTGTTAATTGATATTATGGAAAACGAGTCAAAATGTTGTGCTTTTTAACATTAAATTACTAAGTTCTAAGTTTTCTATAATATTTAAATTGCCAGTAATAATATGTTTATGATGTTTATCAACAAGTTCAAAATATTTCTCTTCTTAATAGTGACATTTATAATCGGATATATTAATTTCCCTTAATTTTTTGCTAATATCATTATAATTACAATACAATAGATACAGTACAATAATACAGTACATGATAGAAGTGAATGAGTAAATAAAAGTGATTTGAAGCAATAGAAAATGAAAAATGAAAGTAAACAAGAAAACCGAGGTAGTCGAAAAACCGCAGAAGCCAAACGAGGCATTTCCAGTCGTTGTAGAGAGATGGCGAGATACGTAAGGGAACATTTAACATTTACTTGTTAACTTTTAACATTACTTGTTAACATTTTCTATTTTATTTACTTATTTAGATTTGTTTTCCATTTCTCGTTAGCAACTTCACGTTTTCCGTTTCAAAGGACTTTTGTTTCCTTATTCACGTCGGGCGAGTCTTGAGAATGGCCGCTTATTTTGAAAGCTCGAACCATGTCGACTTTCATTACCTTCTTCAATATTTTCAAGCAAATGATGTTTTTAAATCATCAAGTGAAGTAGTATCTAATAAAATTAGATTTAAAAAAATCAAGTTAAAAAATGGCTTACTTTGTTTTTAATGCTGTCCTCCAAATATGCAGCCACTTTCTGCAGGATGATTTTCTTAGAAACGGGATGTTTTTCGAGAAGTACATCAGAATGAAAACGATCCTTAGCTTCTTGAGTGTTCTTTAAAGTTAATTTAAGGGAGTCTAGCTTCAACTAAACACAAAAATCATAAACTATTACGTGAAATTTAAAAGTCAGGTATATTAAAACTAATTAAAATCTTTTTCAGCCATATTTTTTTTTTTTTTTTGGAAATAATATTCAAATTATGATTTTTCTTTTGAATCATGAGAATAAACTCTAACGCGAGTCTCACATGAAGGTCTACTTTAATCGGCTGTTTATATGCAAGCGAAATGACAATGAAAGAAAAAAATATATTTTTGTTCAGTAAGAATGTGTTGAATAATTTATGAAAAGCTATTATTCAAGAAGTATTTCTCATTGAGCTTTCTATAACCGTCAACAAAATTTTATTTTATAACCGTCGTTGTGCAGCCGACCCAATTCTTTGCGTTTACGACTACTAATGATCAACTCCAGAAGACAAGGGTACTCCTGGATCACGTATTGGGAGAAATTTGCCTTCGTGAAGGACTTTTTGTTATGGAACTAACCCGCATTTGCGTTACACGGAGAGGAAAACCACGAAAACCTCCCATGGTTAGCCGGACGGTAAGGGGTCTCTAACCCGTGATCCGTCTACCACTGAGAATTGTGCGTCAGCACTGTGGTCGGTGCAAGCCGGATGCGGAATTCGTATCTACCAGTCATCGCTAGGATTCGAACCTAGATCACCTCATTCGAAGGTGAACGCTCTATCCCCTGAGCCATCACGGCTCTAAATAATTAAATTCAAGAATTACGTTACTCAATGTTTACAATAGTTCTTTCATGAAAGCCATCATTCAGCATATTTTGTTCTTTTTCAGTGCATGCATAGACCCATTATTAAATATTTGATTCATCACATCAAATATTTTCAAAATAAACCGTATTTTTTTTTCTTCGGTTTGTTGATTCGAATCCCAGTGATGTCTGGTCGATGCGAATTCCGCATCCGGCTTGAACCAACCACAGTACTGACGTAAAATATCCGACGTAGTTGTAGACGAATCATGTGTTGAAGTCCCCTTTCCGTCAGGCTAACGGTGGGAAATTTTTGTAGTTTTCCTTTCCATGTAATGAAAATGCGGGTTAGTTCTATCAAAAAGTTCTTTACAAGGACAAATTTCTCCCAATACTTGATCCAGGAATTCTCTAGTCTGCTGGATTGGGTTCAAAATTACAAGACTATGGAATTGAACATTAGTAATCGTTAACTCAAAATTGGGACGGGATGTTATAAAATAAAATAAAAAATAACTAGTTAATTAGGCCTTTTAATCCTGAAGGGCAGCGCTATTTGTGTCCTCTACCTTAAAATCTTTATAGTTTGCTCGTATATTAATACAGTCAAACCCCGCTATAGTGAACACGGTTTATTGCGAACTCCCGTATATTGTGAACGAAATGTTCGCTCCCGTGCCTTGATAACACGTAAAAAAAAAATTTTGTGTGGCTATAGTGAACCAAAAAAAAAGAGGAAGTTGGATATTATGAACTTTTTTCTGTCTTCGACTGATTTTCTTCATTTTTTGTAATAGTTTTGAAATTTCTACTTCAATATAAATACATATACCAATTTTTAAAACCATCTACAGCATGGAATGTAGGAAAAAGCATTTTTTTCTTGTTTGCTTCATTATTGAATAGCATGATAGAATTGGTTCAGCATTTAAAGAAGCCGCCATCTTCCAGTGTCTGGAGAAATGCTTCAAGCCAAAGCCGATGAAATTGGCGATTTGATAAGACTGCTTTTCTCGAATGTATGGTTAGACAGGTTTAGAAAGCGGAATAACATAAATTCAGGAAAATTATCGGAGAGTCGGGAAGAGTGTTTCCATATCTGATGTTGAGGATTGCTCATGAGCTAAAGATTTATGCNTTTTTTTTTTTTTTTTTTTTTTTTTTTTTTTTTTTTTTTGCAGGCGAGATGAAGAGTAATAAAAAAAAATAAAAGTTAGCACATTTTTTGTTACTTACGTATTATTCATTTGTGTGGTATTTTATTGTGGTAATTTATTTAAATAATGTGCAATAAAAGGGGGGAACTAGGAACCATTAGTTAAAATTGTTTGAGGAACGGATATAGTGAAGTCCCGGTTATAGTAAACCGAAATTTCGGTCCATTAAAGGTTCGCGGGGTTTAACTGTAATTTGCACATTAAAAGCTTAAATCAGTTTTATGATTTTGATACAAATTACAATTGTGTCCGTTATATTATTTGGAAACGTCATTTCTTGGTTAGTGAGCCTTTAACTGCTGTTTACTTTATTCCAATTCCATTGCAGATGCAGTAAAATTCGATAAAACTGTATAAGAGAAAGATCACCTTAAGTTCCTTTGAGCTCTGCAAAGATTTTGTAGTGCTAAAACCCTCCTGCAGGTGCTGCAAATGTCTTCTGGCAACAAAACATTTCTTTGCGTAAGGTAATAATTCTTCGTCCGTTATCTGCGGCACGTTAGTTTCATTCAATTCCTTCAAAATACTGTTATAAATTTTATTTTCTTTCAATAAAGTAGAAGTTCTCTCTCTGAAACAAAGTTGTACTGGAGTTTGGAAAAAATCTTATTACTAGGTGGTATAAAATTAGGCTAAATCATAAATGCTGTTTGTCGGACTTAATAATAAATAAACTGCCTTTTTTGAGAATTATTTAAACACAATTTAAGCTTAACAATACTTATAAATTATGCAGTTTTAATTAAAATAATGTAATATTATTAATAAATTTCGAATATTTTTCATTCTTTGTGAATTATGCTCTTTTACGAAAACATTACATTTTAAATATTGTAGAATCAGTAATAAAAGTATACTACACACATGGAATCAAAATTTATATTTAGTAATTTTTCTTCTTCTTGATAACAGTAAGTTTAGTTTATCGTAACTAAACTAAAAAATAAATTTCAGAAAAGCACCTTATTCTCGTTTATGCTTTAGATTGTATTATTTATCAAGATTAAAAAACATAGAAACGTAACTTGCTGTGAAATTGCATTTAAAAAATTGTCAGAACATGGAGTTTCAGAACATGGTCTGTTTTATTTAAAAAAATCGTTCGAGACATTAAACTTAACATTAAATTTACTCATATTAATTTATTTTATAAATATATTTTGCGGAAGAGTAATTATATGTAAACATTCAAAAATTACATTGTTACGTATATTTAAAGCAACACTAACTCATATTAGCAATTAAATTCTGAGAGTAAAAATGTTTTTAATGGGAAAATTTAGAATTTTTCAATCGTTTATATTTAAACTAAAAGTATTAAAGTAAATAATAAAAAGTTCTGTAATCTAAAAAAGAAACTTCTTTAAAAAAAAAACGAACTTTAAAAAAAGAGAAGAAAAAAAACAAGAAGAAGGAAAACGACGTATTTATCTTATTATACTAAATTTTTATTAATCTTAATTTTAACGATATTTCTGTAGAATGAAAAATCCAAATTCAATTTTTTTTCCTCCTAATTTATTTTAGATAAAAACTAAATAAATTTAAATACGTGCAGTCTATATACAATGAGTCGAAAATCCAAAAATAACACGACTCATTTTCAAAAGACGAGTGGCATTACCTTTTCATATATACCTTGTGGTTTCTTCCTCTTTCAAATCCTGTGATTTATAATTTCCTCACGTTCGAAATTGAGTGCGTAGGTAATCATAAGACTGGATAAGGATGTTATTAAAATATCAATTATTTATTAAAATGAAAAGTATTTCGGTTTATAAAAAAGTCTTAACTTACTGCGCAATAAAGTTTATATTTCTAAGAAGTCAAACGATTATTTACACGCGAAATGATACTTAAATTATGTGAAAGGCATCATTAGAAAGTTCTCGCCTATTAGGAAAGACTAACCTATAAATACAATATAATTCTTGTTAGGTTTCGTTTTTAGATCCCTTAATTTTATTGAGCTACTATTTCGGATAGTACATATATACATTTGAATTATTGATTTATCGTGTTTGGTTAACTTTTAAAATTAAAATTTATGTATTAAAATATTGCCACTAAAAATAAATTTTTCTTAACAGTCGGTAGGTAGGTACTTTGTTTGCGTCGCACTAGAGCTGCACAATGGGCTATTGGCGACGGTCTGGGAAACATCCCTGAGGATGATCCGAAGACATGCCATCGTAATTTTGATCCTCTGCAGAGGGGACGGCTCCCCTGCTTTGGTAGCCAGACGACCTGCGCACGAAGTCGAGCTCTTTACGGTAGAACAGTTTCCGCATACCCTTGATCCCTACGCAGGCTGATCAAAGTGTTCACCCACCGGCTTACTGACCGCAATCAGTCATACAAGGTGGAACAACGGGGGAGATGAATAATCCTTATTAACTTTCTATTACATTTGGTAATTTTGTCCGTACAACCGGGCATTTTAAGATGCTGTATTTTTTAAATGGACTATTTTAATATGACTTTTAATGAGTGATATTAAATTGAAACAACTACTTTTTTTTAGTTGAACCTAGTTTTTCTGATTCATTATTCACTTGCTAGAGACTGCTAAATCTCTCTAGATAACGTACTTTTATTTAAAAAAAAGAAAGAAAAAAAGTAGGATTTTTTGTGGCTGTTTTAGTGTTTTTTCCCTCATGTAATAGTATAGTTTGACTCAGAGTTTCAGTTTCTATAAAGTCTTATAATGTTTCATTGGTTTATAATATTGTGAACTTTAAAACTTGCAACTCTATGACAGGAAAATTATTAAACTGTTTATTTAATAATTTTATTTTATGATCTATCTATTTCTATATATAATATTTGGTATTTATATAACCCATTTTTATATTACCTCTTCTTTTCTCTCCAAGTGAAGTATGGTACCTTTTATGGGCGGGCCCTATTATATTAACCTACGGACGCAATAAAATTTTCATTTTCTAACTAAATAAATTTAAATTCTATATACAGAAGAAGAAAAAAGACAGTCATTAAATGTTTGAAAAATATTCTTTACATAAAATGTGTTTTTTGTTTATTATTAAGATTTAAACAAAAACAGTTTTAACACACTCTAGAGCAGGGGTTTCCTGCTGGCGGCCCGCGAAGCCTTCTTTTGTGGCCCACGAGCTAAAATATACTAGTAGTAATTTTTTGCGGACAATTTTCGCAAAAAATCTACATGGGTTAAAAATACTTTTCTCGTTAATAGAAACCTAATTTCTTTGTTTCTGCGAAATTTAACATACCAACGGTGCAAAAAAATTTATTTTTCGGGTTTTGCACCCAAGAAAATATTTATCCAAATACAAAAATAATCGTCTATGTTGCTCTTTTTTATTTCATTTTTTTTTTGTATTTTCAGAATCTAATTCAGCGTGTGTGTATCAGAAATTTTCTCGCAGAAATTCTGCGATTTAACTTCTCGAAACCACTAATTTTGGACAAAAATATTTACACACACATTTGTAAATTTTAAATTTAAAATATAAATATCTATTCTCTGGTAGTTGCAACAGACAAACCTCAATTTTCTCATTGAACATTTTGTGTGCTACTATGTAAGTTTTAATACCAACCTTTTTAAAGTTTTATATCTTAACAATTAGATATCAGTTGCACATTAATTGTTTAATACATCGGTGCACATTAAATTTATTGTAGCCCGAATTTTTATTTAATATTTTTAAAAATATTATTAGTAACTAAGTATTTTAGTTACTAAGTATACTACTAAGTAACTAAGTATTAGTAATTAAGTAGTTTTAAAAATCTACTTCCTATTTTAATTTGCAATTCTATACTTTTGCTTTGTACAACTTAGTAAAAATCTGACAGTAATATTTAATGTTCCTTCAAACATAAAAGAGTCCTACATAAAATTTTTATAAAGTTGCGGCCTGCCATTTGATTTGTGTGTTTAATTGAGGCCCCGGCCTCATGTAAGTTGGAAAACCCAGATCTAAATTATATTTATTTCATTATTCATTATATAGCTAAAATCCAGAACAAATAATGGACTGAGTAAATAAGNTGTTCTGCTTCAATGTTTGGCATGTTCTGGTTAGTTTTTCAAGTACTTCAGCTTTTCCTTAGGGAAATTTTGATTTTTATTTGCTGCTAAGAAAATGGCGTCCGTCATGGCCAAGGTTTTTGATGGAACTAAATGAAAACGTGATAAACTAATGTCTGATATTTACAGGCTCCCGCTAGATGGCGTACTCGAGCGTTGCGATCGCGAATCGGCGACGATCTGGGAAGCATCTCTGAAAATGATCTGAAGACATGCCTGCACAATTTTGATTTTCTGCAATGGTGCTCCGCTTTGGTAACCCGACCACCTGAGCACGAAGTTGAGCACTTTATGGTAGAACAGTTTAACAAAAACCGATACCGCACTCCCTCGGTCCCTATGTAGGCTGATGAAAGAGGTCATTCACCCGCTTACTGAAAGCAGTCAATGATGTTTGACTTCCGTATGCTACTGAGAACCGTATCTTTACTATCAGTCCACTGCGGGACTGAAAACAATAGAAAAGATTGCTTAATTTTTGAAAACTTCAAACTTATTTGTATGAATATTAGATGTTATTTTGTTGGCGAATTTCAAATTTAATTTTTAAGAACAATTGGGTATAATATGAGAAAAACACAACTACTTCGATTTAGTAGGAACAACATATGACGCAATGCTAAACAAATGGAATTTAGTTGTTGTTTATTTAGTTATTGTTATTAGTAGTTGTTATTTGTTTTAGTTGTTGTTGTTTATTTGGTTGTATTTAGTTTCAATAACTTTTCTTTATAATGCAATAAAATCTGGCGAGCAGCTATTTAAACGATCGAACACTTCGTTTGTTTATTTGTGGCTTGAAGTTAAGCTCGCAGAAAATGCCGTTCATGGGTTAAATTTAGTAGGAACAACACAACCTGTGACGTAGGCTATATTATACCCAATTGACTGGATTGGTAGGTGCGATTTCTTTCATTCCTTTCCCTTTTTTTCGGATTTTATCGTGCCAATTATAGTTCAGATGAGTTGCGATGGCTAAGGGGATAGAGCGTTCGCCTTCCAATGAGGTGCACGGGGTTCGAATTCCGCATCTGGCTTGCACCGACCACAGTGCTCACGTAAAATACCCTCAGTAATTAGAGTATCCTTGACGTCAGGCTAACCGTGGGAGGTTCTCGTGGTCTTCCTCTCCATGTAACACAAATGCCATGTAACCATGTTCCATCAAAAAAGTCCACGAAGGCGAAATTTCTCCCAATACTTGATCCAGAAGTTCCCTTGTCTTCTAGATTGGGTTCAAAATGACAAGGCTGCGTAGTTGAAGATTAGTAGTCGTAAACCCAATATTGAGTCGGCTGTTTAATGACGATTATTAAAAAAATTGTAATTAATAGATTAGAAAAGGTTAGAAAATAGATAGATAGATTAGAAAAGGTGTCAGAGCGGGTAATACAATGCAATTATTAATAATACCAGTGGATTATAACTTCGTCTTTCT